TATGAGCGATTTGTCAAATGGGACGTTGACCGGCGTTTCTCGATCCTAACAGTCAGCCATTCTTAAGAGCTGCAAATTAACCCATTGACTCCTGGAGCTCTTTGCCAAGAATGCATTTTTTGGACATTTTGGAGATTTTCAGGCTGAATACGGGCCAAATTAGCTCCAATCTACTCAAGAAGGCATTTGCAACATGACAGCATGCCTTTCTTTCCATTAGCATCACATTTTATGACATTTTTGCACGGGCATGCACAGAAATCAAAATTTTGAAAGTGAACTACGTCTTGAGGCTTTTCGATATTTTAAATTTTTTTTGTGTCTTTCCTTTTTGTCCTTTTGTTTTCTTTTTGCTGCAGTGATGGACCTCCTACTGGGATTGCTCCCAGTTCAAAATATTCTGAGAAAGCATCATCGAGACGGGCAATTTTTACCATGGAGTAGCCATGTGTAGTCGCAGGAAATTTGGCTCTGAGTTTTTCACTCAACTTTTTTAGCATTTTCGTGCATATTTCAGGCTCCATTGAGCCGATCACTCTGATCTGGGTATCATTGGAAAGATCTTTTCCTCCTGCAGAAGTTGAGCATAGATGATGCCAATTTTGGTCAAAGGTGATGACGTCAGAAGTGTGGAACAAAGGCCAAGGCTCATCACAGCCAGTTACGGGCAGTACGGGAGTCAATGGGTTAAGCTATACAATGTAGTTTAGGGTATACCCCAACTATAGGGCTAAGATATTTTTCAACCCTTTTTAATCTGTGATTGTGCAGCAAGTTACGAGTTGCAGAGGTGGATCAGATAAGGGAAATTAGGGTTATTTGATCATCTCTTAAACCTCTCATCACAATCCCCCTGCTTTGCTAGGCTCGATTTTCGCTGCTTTCTCGAGTCTGGTCCATGTTCCTCCCCGACAAGAGACGGCTGGATGCCTGAGCAGCAAATCATGTCTGTGACGTAAATTCATAATTTAATTCTTGCAGCACTTCAGGTGGCCGGAAATGTCATCTGATGACAATCATAGGCAGGCCCACATGACGCCTACAGCTCGTAAAATTTGTGGTGTTTTTGCCACTTCTTTTAATTTTTGCCCTCCAACCTATTTTGTTTCACATTATTGTTGTGGAAGGGCATTACATGCTGTGTTCTATAGAAGCGTTTTTTTTTTTAAAAAGTAAAGCAGAGCTGTTTGACTATGATGTAGCAACTGTCATGTCAAAGGTCACACATATGTTGTATGGTGTGCATGGTGTTGACACCATGTTTATGTTTTGCTAGTTGGGTTTGCTTTGGCTCATTTCGAAATTTAATTTTGTGTGGCTTCGCCAGAGACTGGTGTCGCTTCCCTTCAAGAAGACTACCGTACACTGAGTGTTTTGTTTCTTGAGATCGATAGTTGCGTTTATCCCTCTCTTTGTTGACTTTGTTCGTTATCTGACATTCTGGCACCACATGATTCAAATATAGATTCTAACGCATGAGTCTGTCGACTATTGTGCGTGTTGTATATGCCACTATGGTTTAGATCAGGCAAGATTTCATCAGTTGACGGTATTTGGTTAAATGTCCCACTAATGCGATCGCACTTCACATCGCACAACTTCTTTGCTACTGCAAGAAAGCTAATTTATGCAGTCTGCTCGATTCGCGCAGGCAGATTCCTTATTGGTTGACTTTAACAATGCCAACTCCACGAGTCCAGCCGTGAGTTCGGGGAAGGAGCGCGGGCTCCTTTCCCGAACAGTGGCTGGTAATCGAGCCTACTGCTTTGCGAGGGTATAAATCACTTGACATCTCTAGGACAACGTGTTACGTAACTGTGAGTGTTGCACTAAAAATGGAACTGTTACAAAAAACTGCTTCAAATTTAAAACTTGTTAATTTGTTGCTCAGTGAAAGTGTTAATGATTGTAACTACACGTGAATATATGAAAGATATGTTTGAACTGGGAAGAAGGATATGAATAGGCCATGCGCACGGTGTTGGTGTACAGTCACTAATCATTGACAAATGTCCGACTTTTACTCAAATATTTTTTGTTATGGACTGAATGTGAACGAAAATAATCGTAGTCATAGATTCTCTGTTATATCAGCTTGTGGTGTTGTTGTTTGAATCTCCTCTCTTTTGCCGGGTTAGCGAGTAACAAGCAGAAACATGTACATGACTCACTGAAATTCTTCATAGGCGGCGTTACATTTTCAATCCCAAACGGTGGAGAGTTTGCAGCGTTCACAGTGTTTGCAGTGTTTACAACTTGTCTAACGTTTGTTTGGTTTCCCGGTGTTAAATCGTGTCAAACATTCCGTTTCTGTCGTTTCTATCGTTCGTTTTCCTTCTATCGTTCATTTCGTTTTGAATGTTTAATTGCGCACCTCAAGTTTATTTATTCAAAGACCTACGTGATCGGTTGACATCGCGAGGGATTTCCAGGGACCCTTCATGCGAAAAACTGGCTTGGTAAACAAAACGATCATCTGTTTGTTGCAACTAATTTTGTAGTGTTTTGAAATGTTGAAAAAACTTCTAATGGGTTGTTTTGTGCAGACAAGAAAATGCAAGTCAAAATTGAAAGATCTTATCTTCCGCTGAAGTTAAGATTAACTGCTCGATTACCCATAAATAATGTCACAAAAATTAAGATATATCAACTGATAAAGCTGTTAAAAAAATTTTAAAAAATGGATAAATCAGTGGTAAACCTTTCTGCTTCATTCAATCTGGAATTTTACTGGCTGTGGGAACCAACGATTCTGATTGGCCAGCCTGTAATTGTATTTTATCAAGAGTCAACAAAAAGAGTCGACACAATCGTTTCGTCTGGAATCCGTCTAGGTTTTTTACGAAGGCACAGGAAGTTTTGTTTGTAGTTTAAAACAAGTTGTCATGTTAAACATGCCTTAATGTAACAGAAATTGACATGACATGAGTAATTTAATGCTGCCACTGAAAGCACGAAACTTTCATCTGATCCCATGTTCACTGAGTTCAAACTTCTCATAACACTGGCT